TAGGTAATTAATATGTACTGATATTACCATAAAAACTATCAGGTCTGTGCAGTGTCGTATGACATCTATGTACCAAGTTTCATTGAAATGTGATGATTAGTACTTGAGATATCAGTGGAAAAACCGAAAATTGACTAATCATTATGCAAATTAGGTAATTAGTATCCACGGATTATTACCAAAAACTAATCAAAACCTAGCATTAGTTCAGAGCATCTATGTACCAAGTTTCATCAAATCCAATGAGTGGTTGTTTAGATATCAGTGGAACAGTCATGGAACCACTAAAAAATAGCTAATTATCATGCAAATTAGGTAATTAATATGCACGGATTTTTACCAAAAATTAATCAAATCTGCGCATATGTTCAGAGCATCTATGTACCAAGTTTCATCAAAATCCAATGAGTGGTTCTTTAGATATCAGTGGAACAGTCATAGAACAGCTAAAAATTAGCTAATTATCATGCAAATTAGGTAATTAACGAGCATGGATTTTTACCAAAACCTAATCAAATCTGCGCATTGGCCCAGAGCATCTATGCACCAAGTTTCATCAAAAACCAATGTATGGTTCTTGAGATAGCAGTGGAACAGTCGGACACACATACACACATACACACATACAGACACACTAACTGCAAAGACTCCCATTTTGTGCTTCGCACATGGGAGTCAAAAATGAATTGTTTCAAATCACTTGAAATCATAAGCTAATATGTATTCATAGCTTTGACAGCATAGTTGTTTCCGCCAAAATCTTGGTCCAACATTTTGCATTTCAGTAATTTTCCATAATATTTTTGATTATTTTGGACCAGGTGGACAAAATATTGTATTAGCTACAGGGTTTGATTAAAACTTGAAAAAAAATCTGTGAAAAAAATGCAACATTTTATTTTTTGAATAAGGCCGAATATTGACTGGCACACAGTTTTAAAGCAGCATGACATGATACGATACAACACGACACTGTCAACACTTCACATTCCAGTCTATTGTGCTCTAGTTGATTCATACAATTCAAAACATAAACTCTTCTCACAATCATAACTTTACTATATTGTCATTGCAGAAAACCTTTAACTAAACCATAATTCTGATTATTTGAATATACTAGATTACTAAATATGCAATTGGCTAGAACTCTTACCCTGGCCATTGTTGATATGTATACATTCATTGTGTGAACGTCTTCGCTGTGCTCATATAAAAATATCTGATGACATTGTTGCATCAGTACCCATTGTATTGTCGTTTTTCCTTAATTCTGTTTTCAGGGCACGATTCATCAGAGCTGTCTCAGAACTACAGTTCTTGAGTTTTATCAAACCAACAAAAAAGAAAACAGACCATGTTGCAAGATTAACATGGGGTGGGTGCTGATTGTCAAAGGCCAAACACTTTATTGATTTAATTATCATAACATTGTACACTTGTTGTTTTTCTACTCCCATGTTGTGTGATGAAATCGTTGCTATGGCGACACTTGCACTGTATGCACTGCCATATTTGAATAATAAAACTATTTTTGTACCTGAATGCATTACTGTTTATGTGGCTGTAAAACAAGTGACCTGACAATATCTCCGCTGTCCTACAAGAGCATTGTGGTCGCCAAGCAAGCAATGTACACCCAAACACCCAGACGAAACTTGGTTAACCCACAAAAAAGTGATGATTCTGGCTGTTGAAAACATGTCTCCTTAACTTCATCAAATTATTCACAAAAAATATGTACACCTCAAATATCAAAGCAATCAGATTTGTAGTGTCAAAGAAGAATTAAAAAAAATGGTATTTTTTACCAAAATTGACAAGGATATAGAGTCATGAAATTAACAAATCTGACATAGGCCCACCCAGGTACCTCCATATCAGATACTAAACATTTTGGAATTTTTTTGTTTCATTATGGTCACTATAGCGACAAGTTGCTTTCTGATCCACAATGCATCATTTCTAAGTTGAAACTTCAGTTGTTGAAATGTGTTATTCAATATGGAATTCAACACATTGTTTTCTCCCAATCAAATGTTGAAACAAATAGTAGCATTTAAATATCTGCCAAGTCGAGTGAGGTAGTTTTAGAATTCACTTCCACATCTCCAATGATGAATGCAAGTGTAACTTCCTCTTGAAGTTTTTTTTTTTATTTTAACACTCAGGAATCAGTGAATGAATGAACCGGCATGCTATGCCATTTATATCTATCATTCTTGTGGAGACTAATATGTAAATGATATTGATTATACTTAATCAACCGAATTCTAAATATTAGTCACGCGTGTGTGGTTAAGCTTAGAGAACACGCCCCTCCCCTCAAAGTTTCTGACTTTAGAATCACTCGAGCCTTGAAATTTAAGCCAGAAACTCTAGTGTTGTGAGTTCCCTGGTGAATACATACTATCATTTGGTTAGAAAAAGGACAAGACTTTATTCACTACAAAGTAATCCTACTAGCAGAACATGATAGACGCAAAATACATAAACAATGCATGGCTGAGATTTATTGTCCCATTAATTACTACTTAAAACAACATTAATAACAATAGACCATTTACCGTTCACTGCGAACTTAAAAACAGGACAAACAAAGGTTGTATTTTGGGGGATATTTCTATGCTTAATGTGCTGTATACATTTGCTTGTGGTCAATTATGGGTATCCAAACGCAATATGTCGGCTTTTTGATGTGAGCTATGAAGTAAAGAAATTAGAGTTCAAAATCAAATCGGCAGATCTCGCAGTTGAACAGAAAAACATGTTTTCTCCAAACTCCATCAAATCCGAAAAGGGAAAAAAACACAGAAAAATGGTTTGGTTCGAGTGTAAATTTGTGCGTCAAATGAGGTGCATTTGTAAAATCTTTTTACACCCACCCGAAAACCAACTGCTATGCAATACTACTGTCTGATTATCAATTTGTATTTAATGGCGAATGTAGTCTGACGCCATGACCAATATTTATCAATTAAGTTTCAGTGGGGGGTAGGGGGGTTTGGAAAAAAACTAAAGGAATTAAGTTTTTTATCAGACATCGATCTTTTGACGTTGTCCCGTACTGTCACCGGTTATGCTGTTACAGGGCAGTAGTCGTCGCGCCAGGCATGCACGAGATATATGGGTCTCATATAAATAAAGATGGGGACTTTGACTGTTGCGCAGATCAACGAGTACAAACTGAGATGTTACCAAGCTTTAATTAGGTATTTTTTAGGTGATTGGAAAGTATCGAAGGAGTCACCGGTGGTAATTAGTGCAAGTCGCCCCTTGGTCAAACCTCATACTTGTGATTTCCATAAGAAGAGTGCATTGGATTATGGGAAAATCAATGTTTATCAACACAAATGTAGCACATGTGCAGCGGGACGACCACCGCCCTTTAACTATAGTTGACATTTAAAGCGATATAAAATTTTATTTTATTTTATTCAAGATTTTCAGAAACAAGTACTGCCTATTAACCATATTATATACAACTTAGTAATCCTTATTTTGACAAGTCGTGTATTCATTTCTTTTTATCAGCTTACTAATGTTTTTGTTTGATATCTGTTGAAAGAGACTTGACATGCTGGACGGACAGACTTCATGAAAACTTGGCCTTTGAGAAATCCATCTCAGGATGTTGTTTCATGAAACTGAAAAATAAACAAGAAATATTTGTCATCTTAAGACTCAACAGTTTCTTCACACACTGGATATAAACTATGATGTCTTAGCTACACTGTAATTTCACTAATTCAACATATACTACATGTAGTACTTTTGTTGGTATGAAAATCAAAAATGATTTTTATTATTGTTGTTGTTGTTGTTGTTTCTAGACTTTTCTAGAATATTTGCTACCAGATTAACATTTTTTTGTTAGGAATAAAATGACACATTAACCCTTTTGTTCCCAACCAATGCACACATGTAATGCTATGACTAATGCGCAAGAAACCTCATATCGGAGTCATTTTTTTTTACAATATTTGGGATTATTGCTACTTAGTGAGTTTAATATGAATAAGTTAATTCTAAATTATATATCATTGGAAAATTAATTAAATTCTCTAATTAATAATTACAATCTCATTTACATATAGTCACATGATCAAATATGGCCGCCACATTTCAACTGTGTATTCATTGATACGCAGATCGCCTCAAACCAGCCGATCTAATACATACCGTGCATGAAACTATGGAAAAAGTGGTCAGAACTATTTCCACTTTGTGTCAACACAGGTGGCGTTATTCGGTTGGTTTGCGGCGATCTGCGTGTCAATGCAATATTGAGAAAAATTAGACCTTTGACCTCCCAATTTACATGCATTTTAATGTTAATAAAATAAGATATTCTGATGAGTGTTGTGTGTTATTTTAATTGATCAACTCAGTAAAGATTAAATCTTGCTAAAAATCGGGAAAGAATGTGTTCAAAACAAGAAAAATACTTGTATATAGTTCCGCGGAAGAAATGCTGTAAAATGGTGGCGGATGGATATTTAGCCTTCACAGGCTAGTTATGCCCTACAAGACAAAGGTCTGTGCTGAATAGCACCACCTGTGTTGACACAATACTGTGTATTATGTCCGAAAAGTTATAAATACCAAATAAAAGATGAAATACACATTATTTCTTTACATATTTGCATCAAATATGACATTCACATGTTTTTTTAGAGACATGAAAGAGAATTTGTTTGCATCAACCAACATATCTCAAAATGGGGTAAATTTATTCAAATTTTCGATAATTTTCACAATATTCAATCTTGATTTTGGACTGCAGACAAAGTGTGACATTGTTTTTGATCAAAAAAATGTATGTTGTCCTCAACATTGTCTGTAGAAATGAGCAGACTATAAATAGAACAAATTTGTGGATAGTTCGTGAAGCTGGTTTTGGTGGTCAATAGCTTAAATAAATATAAAGCTTCTAACAGTTGCACCCCAGACCTTTGACACAAAATGGCCGCCGAGATCTCACTCAGAGTCGTAGACCTACAAGATTTGGTTTTTGCCCTTTTAAATAGTGTTCTATTCTTTCCCATCATAACATCTCTACATAAAGGTTTGTAAAAACCAACAAAATTAAACAAATATCAAAAACTACAATTTTTACATAGTAATTGAAATCACTTACTTTTGAAGAACGTCTTGTTTTTTCTGCTCATCTGATGTCGGCAAACCCATTTCTTTTTGTCTCTGATCATACATCATCTTTTCAACCATACCCCTTGTCTCGCCGTCTAAATCTGATAACTAGGAATAAACAAAGAAAGCTTAGAAAGAACTACAATGTGCTAGCATTGGAGGTACACGAAGCAGAAATGGGGTATACATGTATTAAAAAAATGATTATATTTGCTCTATTAGTAGGGCATGTGCTTACATACATTTGTACATTACAAAGATGTTTCTATGGTCAAAGTAAGTACACTGTTACAGCAATATTTTGATGAATCAGTGTACAACAAATGTGGTTTATATACACGTCTATTGCAAAAAAATATGGTACTCAAAAACAAGAAACCCAGTGACTAATAAGAATTTATAAGACAAAGGAAATAAAATAAATTTGATTGTGTACATTTTTGATTTGTTGTCTGATTTATCACAGAGCACCTCTACAAGTTTAATTCAAGATATCAGAACATTTATAAATTTGCATTTGTAAATTACCCCCAAGCATCTATGTACAAAATTTCATTGAAATCTGCAAGTGAGATAACGTAAAATTAGCCAATAATCTAGCACAGTTAGCAGTGTACTCAAACGAAATTCAACAATCATTTATAAATCAGATTTCTTTTATATACAAGGATAATATTTCATAACACAACCTGCTCAAATCATCAACAGACTCTATTACTGATGTTCAAAAGACGACCAAAAGCCACATTCCAACAACCGCTATTATTACCTCTCCCCTTTTTGACCAAATCACACCCTCTATCAACAATAGGCATTTTAATTTTGTTTATATACATCTTGACAAACAATACTACATATAGACTGAAACTTCAAAAACTGTGAGCTCAGCAATAATACGATGTAGTATACATTTGTACCTTAGAGTTCTCTGGTTGTACTTTCTTTGTATTTATCTCCGGATCAGTTGTTACAAGTTTATTCCACCATTCCATCTTGTTTACCTGTCAACAAATAATATGTTTACTTTTGTTTGCATGTTTATTAGATAATGTTGTAATCCATGTAATTTGTTCAATGTTTTATATTACACATAGTTATCCATATTTACAGCATAAAGAGTTCCCTCCCATAGTACCTACATCACGTATGGTCACCCACATCGAACATGACTCACCTCAATATAACATATACACATGTACGTCCACTCCACCACACATCAGTGTGCACTCTGACATGCAATTGTTTGTGATTTTTGTCAGTGATTCAATTTGGTCTTCAGCAATGCATAGCAGCTCTATACATTGGGTAGCAACATTTTGATTTATGAAGCACAGGGGAGAGTATGACAGTCAAGTATCTCACGTTTTGATGGTTAGTGATTTTTAGAAGACTGCAGGTGGCATCTAGGGCCATTTATAAACAATTAAATCATAAACAAATAAATTCATGCCTTAATTTCCATTATGATATGTTTTAGTGCCACCACACTCAATTCCACAAATGCATATGGCCACAGTCCCAGGGAGGGACTGTGATACAGCCCACCAAACCACACAGGACAGACCATACCACGTACGACCACCCCACCACACGTGGACTACCATACTATACGTCACATGTGCATACAACCTGCCAAACCACATCTGGCCTAGCTACCATACAACAAGATTCTGATTTCTGACCTCATCTGAAACTGGAACTCTAACATGTATAGATGAATACTGTAAAACCATTTACTTTCACTGCCATTTAATTTCACTATTTTGATGTTTTGAGCAATTTCACTGGGTTTTAAGTAACACAAATTCGGCAAGGAAACAATGAGTTATATTGTTATTCTACAAGTTCACATAGATTTCAATTAGCAAATTTCATTTATCAACAAAAATAGCAATATTAAAAACCAGCAAATAATTAGTGCATTTACAGTACATTCTGAAACGGACATTACCTTTTCTATAGTAAGTACCAACTCCTTCTTATCTTCAATAACCCAACAACATTCCTCTACTTTAATCTCATTAAATGTCTCTCCATCAATGATAGCAGGGTGTCCTTTTAATCCAATCTTCAAATGCTTTCTACTCATATCAACAATAATATCACGTGGTTTCACTGGAAATGTCACTTTAAAGGGAACATGGAGCTGAAGGCAAAAGTTAAATTTGTTAAAATTTCATCAGATACATTTTGCTTATTTAGGTTTCACTGTACTATATAAGTTTTCAAATACTGATTTTTATATCAGAGAGGAACTCAGATTGGCTTAGTATGCTTTGGGGCTGTCCATTATTACATCTAATGCATAGAAAACGCAAGTCATTTGTAACTGGCACTGAACTCAATCCCTCTCCCTCTGCTTCCTAGAATAAAAGTTTCTTAATGAGACATTGTGAAAAGTACAATACCACATATACTAGTTAAGTTCACATTATTAGGTTATTATTGAGCATGCTGCAGTTTTAATAAATGCCCCCCCCCCCCTCAAAGTACATAGTAAGCATACTTTTAATTCATCACAACTACATTGTGGTACTTTCAACAAATGCCCCTCCCTACTCCTCCTCCAAGTACATAGTAAGCATACCTCTAATTCATCCAGTGTTTGAACCCATTTATAATTAGGTAGATCAGCTCCATTTCCTGCATTTGGTTTGAGTTTACCTTTATCTGCCTCGTCATCAGAGTCAGATCCATCCTGTCAATAAACAAAGATGGAGGAAAGATAGTTGTCATGTATACTGTCAAAACTTGGTAGCCACTTCTATAGCCACCGTCAACCTTACTGTTAATAAAATCTATTTACATATTTTCAGTGATACCAGAAAAAGTAGTCGCATATATTTGCTCTGTTAGAAGTGTAACTCATCGATATTCTGTTTTCTTTATTGCACATTTGAACAATATGATGTACAGTACAGTCATTTACCTAAGCACATACACTACTTATACAGCAATTATGATGTATAAAAATTTTGTTCCAATAAATGCCGCTTAATTATCCTAGCATGAAAATGCTATGGGAACATTGTATCTGAAATTGAAAATAAGATGCAGCCCTGTCAGGGAGTTAAGAGTTTGATACAAAATCTGAGTCAAGATGGCCAAGAAGCTGATCAAGATAGGAGTGGGAGAAAATTTAAAGTTGTTTTTGTGAGCTAAATAAAAAAGGATGATGTTTTTTATATATTGCAGCACATAAAAAATACTTTTTTATAAAGTCAAACCTGTGTTAGGTGACCACTTTTATAAAAAAACACATTTGCCTAGTGACCAAGACATAATGCACCATCTGTCTTATGTAAGCACCCACGGTTTTTACTGAGTTGACATTGTTTACAGACCAAAATAATAACTATTTACAATTTCCTCAAGTCATTTTATTTTATTTTGTTCAACTCAAATTATTGTGTCTTGTTGCAAAAGTACCATCTCATTATTTTCTGGACAAATACTATGTCCAATGTACAAGATGGTGATCTATAAACAAATAAACTAACCTCCATTCCAGTCCCCAGGTTTGACAGTATGATTGGTGTTTTTGTGTAGTTTTTATTATGTATTTATAAAACAAAATATATAATAAAAGATGCTCATATTTGAATGCATGAAAATCGTACATCCACAAGTCATTGAAAATGACACAGTTCTCAGTTAAATTTTTGAAAGGTCTTTTTGTGCTCATCATATTAAAGTGGAGGGGTTGTCGCGTGCGTGTCCTTGAAACTTGAGTCCCAAGTGGCGTATACAACAGATTGTTTATTCACATCAAAATCGAACACATGTTGCGTGACGACCCCTCCGGTTTAAGACAGTAAAGAAAAACATAAACAAACTGACATGTATGATGTATGTGCCAAATACAAATGAAAATGGTACATAAATCTTGGAAATATAGTAGTAAGGCCAAAAAGTCAGATGGCTGTTAATCGACCATCCTTGATCCGATTTTGAAACAAATTGTCCTGGACATGTATCCTAACATGTATAAAATATGTGCCAAATTTGAATGAAAACTTACAAAGCATGTCCAAGATATCAAACATAAAAGACAAAATAAGATGCCTGCCAGTCGGCCATCTTTGATCCAATTGCAAAAAAAAATGTCATGGACATACATCCTAACATGTATAATCTACGTACCAAATTTCATTGTCGCAGGTCTTATCACACAAATACATTGAATACTCTGGTGTACTACTACTATTATCAGTTTACAAAAAAGTCACAATCTCATGGTATAGTAAGTCATGCTCAGTCCTGGGCTGCAAAAATGTAAATTTAAGTTTTAAAGATACCACTAAGTTTTTACATCAATTAAAATATGATGTAAGCTAAGTGATGTCAGTCTTCTTTTAGTCCGGACCATTCATCACCTCTAACAACATCTGACCAATTAATGGTACTAATGTAATTCATATTTAATAGTCAACCAATCAGAGTTCTTAGTACAGGCCAATTTCTAATAAGGTGTAATTTAATTGGTTGACAAATCCTGCCCTGCTACCTGAACACAGCTTGCATAGGTAGATGTAGTCAGAGACTATGGACATTGACAAACAGAATTAGGAGTGACTGGAGATTTTTTAAAGTACATCATATTGGGTTACATCATCCTCTGATTCATGTGGGTTGACCTGATTGATATCTTTATCATTGTGGTTATATCATAATATACATGTATTAGAACTCACCTTTTTATCCTCTTTCTTCTGTTCAACTTTCTCTTCAGCGCTTGTTGCTACATCGTTATTTTCACTCACTGCAACATTTGATTTGCCCTGCAAAACAGACACACTAATAAGTATCCATATCTGTGGTGCTTTCAGTCAAAATAATTTTTGTATTATGAGGTATTTCATCATTTAATGTAAACTATCTACAGACATCACAATATTGAAATTTATCCATGAGTGTTATTGGTTTCATGGTCATGTGATCAAATGCACCCAATGGCATGTCAGCAAAATGAGAAAATGGGCATACATTCATTTTGTTTGGGTGATTTATTTTTTTGAATAATATCAAGGTACACTTATTAAAAAGATTACAGTTATATTATTCTCAGCATAGCTACTTTGTATTACATTGTATTACATCACTAAATCTTGGCTTTTCACAGCATAGATGCAGCTGGTCTATTCAACGCCATACAGGTATTGATATTTCAATGGCGTTCTAAAACAGATGTAAACACATTTGCTTTATATTATCCAGGTCTTGTATGCAACTTAAATTCATTCTGTTCAAACTCTCGTAAGTTTTAGAAATTAATTTATTCAGACAAACCTCATCTATTTTTTTCTGTAATTCTTCAGCCTCTTCATCTGTTATTTCCTTTATTTTGGGCTCATCTTCTTCCTCTTTTTTCTTCTTCTCTGCTATTCTTGCAGCTCTCTCCTCCTTTGCCTTCTGTGCTGCCATTGCTTCATCTTTCCTCTTTTTCTGTTCATCTCGAGCAAGTTTTTGATGGTCTTTAAATTTTTCTATAATTAACTATAATTTTTTTTTTCAATGAGCTACAAAGATTTGACAGGCTGAAAAAATGAATGTCTCTATAGCTATGAGCCTTGCAAAACAATTTCATGAAGCAACAAACACATTGTGTGAAACTGTGACCATGCACTCACCTTTTCAGCAGCTCCTTGATCACCACCAACATAAAAATCAGTCTTTCTTCTTAAAAATGAAAATATATTGTCTAATAACTGAAAATAAAATATAAATTCATTTATTAATTCAACATAAATGAAATTTCAAAATAGAAGTAATGTATTTTAGAGGAGAGTATCTCTTAAAAAAGTGCAAATGAATCAAAAATTGTATTTATTTATTTTATTATATACTGAATTGTTAAATACAACTTCAGTTTGACCACAAACACACATGTCAAATATACCTTAGTCATTAAGTAAGCACATATGTTATACATTTTATAGTATTACTATATACCAAATCATAATTGAGAAATTGATATCAAAAATTTACAATAGTAAAGCAATAAATGTGATAAACATGTAAGATATGAATATCACATTTTAAGATTGAGAGACGATCACGAAATGTATCACATTTTAAGATTGAGAGACGATCACGAAATGGGCGTACATCAATCAATGAGTGAGTCCGTAAAACAAGTTTGTGTTTTTGCATGTTTGCATAGTATAGTATGTTCATCTTAGTAACTTCTGTAGGCACAATCTTATAGTTTCCATGGTTATTGATAAACATACATGGTATCATGTGATACCATATCGATCAGAATAAGTTTGGCTGATTCTGATATTGACCATCGCCTACCTGATTATGAAAGTTGCAAATCATATTTTTTTATAATTCATTGCAGAATCTCATTGTAGTTTATTTTCAGATTTAAACAGGTGAGATAATTGTGTTTGGAGCAATAGACTAAAATCAATACTGATTCCACTGATCTTAGAAATCTTTTGGTAAACTTCACAACCAGTACTGATCCTAGTACATTTTTTGTACCATACTATAAAATGATTATATATTCAATGAGTATATTATTTTAATTTCTATGATTGATGATATGTAATGAACCACATATGAGATCTCTTGTTCTTGTGAATTTCTTGTATATGTCAATTAAACATATTTTAACCAACACAGACAAAACAAATTTGGTGCAGAAACTGTGTAAAGAACCATAAAATCTGTATTAGGAGTCGCATCCCTAATTGAAGTCTTTTCAAATAATTGAGAATCACAAATTCATCATTTCTTATATATGTTGATGCTCTAATAGAAGCTATATCCCTTATGTTGCATTGTACTATTTTAATAGAAGCCGCGTTTTTTTTTTTTTTTTTTACAGATTTGACAGTAGTTTATAACACAATTTATCAAACATTTCATTCAAATATCAATTGAAAGAAGAGGATTGACTGTAATAATTTGTGCAGTGGTCCATGATGTGTCGCAAAGCCAATTAGATTCTTGTTGATACTCATATAGTGTATGTCCATTGATTGCCAGCCACTTTAGAATGTACTTTCCACTGCACAGACTGCATGGATCGCTGTAAAGACTGGGTTATTCCTATCAGAGGTGTGGACTCAGTCAAAGTGATGTTTTATAAATTCTAATTATTTTAAAAAGCTTCACTGAAACAACTGAAAATGGTGAACTGGCGTGACTTCTTCAATTTGCACACGATTGTAATCGCATAATACACTCCTAGTTTATAAATGCATGGTATAAAATGTGTAGATTGGAGCTGCAGCAATGATTAACCAGATCCAGAATATTAACAGTCTCGAAATTTAAGTACGGGGGTACCTGACTGGTGGCTTGATCAGTCGAATCATGAATGGCACTTTTTGGATTCTTGTCATACTGACCGTTGGCCGATATTTGTGCTGGCTTGGTCTGTGGTTTGATGACATTGACAAAACATGTGTCAGCACGACAGAATAACACAGACCATGGAGGTACAGACATATACTACTACATGTACTCTTATTAAAACACTGTGGTAGCAAAAAAAACTATTTAAAAAGTGAATTGTAAACAGATAACGTCTTTCCTAAGTTATTAAAAGTATCTTACCTCTTGTACGCCACCTTCACATTGCTGGGCCATGTGAAGTAACATGCCATCAAAGCGTTCATCAGGAGCAGCCGCCATCTTGAAATACAACTACCTTTAGTTCAACGACAGAGGGCGCTCTGTCACATCGTAGAATAATATCGAACTTTCGGTTATTATTAGTATATTACAGCAGCATTACTGTTGCATTATTAACTGAGCTAAAAAATAAAGTAGTGTACGGAGACTCAAAGAAAGTCTGTAGCAGAGCACTTATTATATCATGTAATAATAATAATAATCGTTATTACATAATTCAAAAACACTTATAATTTTGAGTCATACTTAAATTGTCTTCCGAAAAAATATCAAGTCAGCATGTCACGCTTCCGAACAAGTAACCATTGTTTGGCTATTGAAAAAGGAAGGCACACACAGCCAAAAACTCCCATTGAAAAAGAATTTATAATTTGTGTTCCCAAAATAAAATAGAAGATGAAGTTCACTTCCTTTTAGAATGTGATCGGTACAAATATATTAGACATGAATTGCTCACAGAAATTACATTAACTAATGCAGGAGATAAATTGAGTAATTTTATATTTTTGATGAGCAACAAGGACTCCAAGGCAATTAAATGTATGGGGACCTATCTACTTAAAGCCATGGAATACAAAAAACTTTAACGTATCTATTTATATTGTATTGTAATTGTGTTGTGTATGGATATATTTATTGCCTTTTACCAAAAGAAATATTGTAATTTCTAAGGATGCAATAAAACTTGATTATTATTATTAATCGTATCCTTAGTTGGATTTGGACTCAGAAAAAGAAAATTACAATAAAGACGAAGAACTGAAGTAGCAAAATGGAAGTGCTAAAATAGCTAAAATAGATAGTTTATTTATTTAGGGGCAGCTGGTAGTTTTTTGAAATGATTTTCTTTGGCACTGAAACAATTATAGATGTAGCTTGCTAGTTTCGTTATTTTTTGGCTGTTATTGCTTGTTAGTATTGTAATCAATTTATTGGTATTTGTGTTGTTGCAATGTATTTCCTTCAACATTTCAGTTCTCTCATTTTCGTACAGCTTGCATTCATTGAACTCATCATGCATGCATTGCTTTTGATTCTCGAAAGGCAGTGTGATGACCAATTACCTGGTGGTAAATATTGGAATATGAAAAACGAAGAGCAAGCATCTGTTGCAGCAGTGCCAACTACAAATGTGGCTGGAGAGAGAGATTTTGCCATCTTGGATTTACTTGTACGAATTAAACCGGCAGCTACAACACTATGCTATGAAACACTCATAATGTGGTCCAACAACAAGACTAGAGAATGGCTTGATAATAACGATCCGATAGAGAAAGAAAAGCTTATGGCTGATGCGCGACGCACTGCCCCCTCCTACAAAGAAAAATACCAAAGACGAATGAAGGTCATTCAAGAAAGAAAACTTGAAATTCTGAAGAAAAAGCAAGCGGAAAAAGAAGGAACTGAACAAAAACAATATACAAAAAAAGGTACAATTAACAAACCAAATTGATTCCGTGTAGGCAAGTGTGGATGACCATTTGAATAACATGACTGAAAAAGAACAGCGTGCAGCAGTAGTTATGCAACTTAATTTTCACAAAACAGTTTTGAAATCGAAGGGTGCTAACGAACTTTTTCAGCAATCTTTTAAACGCAGACAATATACTTTAGCTGAGTTAATAAATAATTTGAAAGAAATCATTAGAGGAAATCCAGCAACAGAGTGTGACGACACACAACAACATACATTAATGCGTCAAGCTGATGAGATAGAAGTTCAGTTCACCATTCAAAAACAGAAATTGGATGCCAAGCTTCATGAAATGCGGAGAAAGCGGCGCATAAAAAAGCAACTCGAGCTCCTGCCTTCCTTTGAGAAAGATCCTAATTTACTAGTGAATAGACGTGTTGAGACATATTGAGTGGTTTGCAGCCCGGGTACTTGCACTTGTAAATATAAATAAAGACAACCCGTTGAAATGCGAGTACTGTATCAAGTACGATGAAGAAGATGATGAAACAACAAGGCACTTCCCTTTGTTGCGCGACTTAAAAAAAGGAGATCTTCTTTTGGATGAGATGTTTTAATAACAACCTACACAGTAATTTCAAACATTCCAATAGAATTTAGATATTTTTCATTGAACTGTGAATTCTCTCTTTTTTTTGTTTAAGTTGTGTAATAATGTAAATTAAATTGTGTAAAAATGTAATAAATATTTGTATGTGAGAGCATAGTAGTGAAACAATTTATCTACATGGTGCATCTTTGCAAATAATATATTGGTACAAAGTAGATGAAATATGTTCAAATCAGAAACAAACTGGGATAAAAAAAAATCAAATTCAAAAATCACCTATTTTGAACATAACTTGTATTGTATATGGGGAAACATCAATATTACTATTTGTCACTTTATTAATAAATACCAAATACATGTATCCCTGGCCAATATGCAAGATTTTTTCCTGAATGAAGATTGCATTGAAAATAAATTCAGAAGTTAATTTATTCAAATTATGGATTTCTTTGGTTACCATGGCAACGTGCATATTTCAGACCATTGTACTGATCTACTATATGAAGTTTAGTCCAACATTGCTGGTAAAGCATTAAATGCATCCCCTGCGTTTACATCTATTACATCTTGCAGTCCATTTTATTGGCAATATGAACACACCCGCCCTTTTGTGATCGAATCTGGTTACCATGGCAACATACAAATCATAGCAACATGCAAACCGTTGCTGGGTGTTTTTTTAAAGTGAAGTGCAAACCATTGCAAAATGTAATGCCCGGTGGTTAAAGTTCATATTATGCCAGTATTACTGGTCGATCAAAGTTAATTTATGCAAAATATTGTTTGTTTTTGTTTCCATGGTAACAAGTGTTTGAGCACCCGAATATGCACATAAGATCAGGTATCATCTTAAAATATATTCAGATTTAATTAGTGGTGTATGTTGATCAATGTGTATACAATACACTACCTTTATTACCTTGACATAATTTTAATTAATGCAAATTATAAATATAATATAATATTTCTTTGGCAATGAATTGATTTGTGTATGGTTCGGTCACATTATTCAATGGACATTGCTGCAAACTTAAAGTGTTGAAAAAATTGTGTAAATCGTTTAAGAATTGGCAAAGATACAAACAATTTACTCTTTTATTCCCTATATAATTAGTGCTAATTGGTGCCACTAGTGTCTTGTCTATTCATCAATGCTTAACAAAGTGAATCATTGTCTAAAATAATGACAATTATATTCAACTTCAAAGTGATGTGTCTTGACAATGGAATCTCTGATTTACACCATTTAAAGTGCATTCAATTACTCTTGCAGAGATCTGTTAAATGATACCACACACACTGCACTAAGATGTATACTTAATTTCCCCCTGAAATCCCTAATTCAAGTAAGAAATGCATTTCGTCTTCAATCTCATTTTGGTCGCAAGCCATGTAATCTCATTTTTGCCATGTATGTACATGAATGAAGTCAGATGGCGTTAATTACCCTAAACCATGGACGTACTTCTGGGTGTGTTAGCAGAGAATCTATTTTATACTTATAATTTGTCGTTCATATCTACGGCCAGGATCTACGGTAGTATTTTGACACAAACATACTGTGGGGGGGGGGTGTATACAAACGTCAGACGTAGACGTAGTTCAACAAAATAAACTAAATAAAGTTTATTGAATATCGAACACTGGTACGTACTATCAGGATACAAACTTAAGAAATACATATATAACATTAACCGGGAATACTCTTCCTTATATGTCTTAAAACATATCAAGTCAAAAAAACGCAGGAACTTCATATAATAAGTATATCTGAAGGCCAAATTACTATACATTGATTAGTTAACTCTAAAACAATGCGTCATTGTGAATGGCTCTATAATTGCCATGGTAACATGTATAAGTCTGGCGAGTATAAAAAGGAAGGTTGATTTCAAGTTTACATTATAGTGAAAATCACCATGTGGTAGGACGTGCGCTTAGTCACATGGAATTTCGGTGTAATAAAAACGATAACATTCTCAGACACATACAAAACGATTTAATAACATTAATTCCAAAGTCTGTCCGAGACGAACGGTTATAAGCTTACTTAACAAACACCCACAAACCAACTGCGCAAGATATTTGGGAAAGAGTTTCCATCCCTAACCCTAACTTTAATCCCACCCCTACACACCAGCATTTTCCTATTTATTTATTTGTATAATATCCCTCCAAGAATACCTATAGTTAAAAGGGTAAAAGTTAGTGTTTGGTGTGATGCAAAAAAAAGCTTTTCCGGCTTTTGACAGGGTGGTCAATGCATATTTATTAAATAAGTTACGAGGCCTTAACATTGGAATTCATTTTATAAATTGATTTGACGTCCTCCACTGTAATACTCTGAGCTGCATAAAAGTTTCTGAGTTCATCTCTGACGTATTTAGTGTCACCAAGGGAGTCCAATTGCGGTAATTGTATTTTTACTCGAATTTATAGAAGTCATGAAACGTTACAATTTTGTACACTGTTATCACTAGTAGAATGAGTGTTTACTAATTTTTTCGTTACTTTTACAAACTTAAAACTTTGCCAATTTTCCATCGCTTTGCCCAACTTTCCACACTATTCTCATCAGATTTCGCCCAATAGTTGCTGACTACAAATGTCTTTTTTCACTGATATTTCACACGCATCTCAATACATGAGGATTATTTTCAAGAGTTTGAACGAAATATTATCACCATCACAGTTACAAAAAAACACTTCTTAAATTGACATATTCCATTTGCATGTGTGTGACGAAATTAAAATTTCCGCTCACTGGCTTGTGTAATTAGTCTCCCATGCAGGAACTAGAGATACTTGACACAACATTTAGAATGGGTCCATCGCCAGTCAACACTATAAGAGTCAGATGACATTATTTCGAATTTGGGACATTTAATTTGTAGTAGTGTTTCTAATTACCCAATACCAGGAAAAGTTGAATATTTCATTAGTTGACCTACAATGTGTACATACTTGTATAATAAACGTTTATCCATATTTTCGTCACCTTTTTGAGCTTTAAACTACGCAATTATTATGACAGTAACATCGGTCAACTTACCAAGCAGCTTTGCCAACTTTTCTGTCAAATTGCACAAATTTGCATCTTCTTCAGTCTATTGACCATTTTATGCAGTACTATATAACTGAGGTAAAGATCGTTTTATTGCATAGTAAATTCGCTTAAATTCTCTTTATACAATTATTTATACAAAATTATATTCAAATCTGATTATTCATAGTGTTATTTCTATATATTTCTAACTAGATTTTAAGTTTGCGTTGCTTGAACTTAATAAAAATGCCTGGATCTGCTTTCAATACTAGTGTATTCTTCGGTTGTGGAAATGGACAGCTGTCATCGACGTACAACTCAAATTGATGTAACACTCTTCCAATGACCACTTTTATCTCATTCATCGCAAAGTTTTGCCCGATGCAATTTCTATGGAACAAAAAAGATTAACAATTATTAACGATGATGGAAAATAGTCCACGATTCAGTAACCAACGTAGATTATTCACTTCAATTATTCAGTGAATTGAAAGAAAAATTAGAAAAGTAATTTTAACATAAAACTTAATCCTTGAAATAATATCAACACACAACTTATTCGTTTCCTATGTTTCAGATTGAATAATGTGATTAACTGCAAGTGTATAATTATATATTTGAATGAATCATTTTGCATCTACAGCGTCATACTGCGTACTGGATGGAAAAAGTAACCAGGTTTTCTGTACGCTAGATGCAGGGCGCATCACAATTATCTATTCAACAATTTGTAATGCAAAAACCTACCGCGCCCCAGCAGCAAATGGTACAAAAGCATGCGGTGACCGTTTCTTGCTATTCTCCGATGAGAATCTCATTGGGTCGAATATATCCGGGTTTTCCCATACGTGTGAATTGTGATGAAGTGCATTAACAGCAACCACTACTATCGACCCTGTTAAAATATAAGAAAAGAACCGTGGACCAAAAATCCCATAGAAAACATACAATTTCATAGTATAAAAATGCAATACATTACGTAACATGTTCAGATCAGGAAAAGGATGGTACATATATCCAGGCGTATACAATGGTATACAACCGGTGTTTTGAAAAAAAAACGACACCATGCTTTTCATGTATCAGCACAGTACCATAGCATAGCAGACATCTTACCAACAGGCGCGACTTTTCCATCAGGGAACGTCATTGGCGAAGTGAGTTGCCGACTCGTGGCAGGTACCGGTGGATTCATTCGAAGACTTTCTTTGATAAACATTGTTGTCTCAGGCATACATTGTAGGTCGTTCCTGAAAAAAGACGCAGATACAGATTATTTAAATTTTTTCCCTATATATCCACCATCTCTAGGTACTACATCATCTCAACAACTAGGTGGGAAGTGCTAGATCTGGGTATACTAATGTCTAACATGAATAGGTAATGTGCTTGCTAGCTTTTTTCAGTTATATCGCACTACTTTTTTCTGAAATGGTGGCTTCGAATCCCCATGCTTAACTTTGTTAACAAACATTCTCCATCAAGGTCATGGACTGGGTTAAATCTGGAATTAGTTTAAAATATAATAATATATATATATACATGCAGGGACAAAATTCGCATTAGAAAAAACATTAAAAAATCCTTATTATGTTTGAAATAGAGCTAGATAAATGTACATGTAGGTGACGCCTATTATACCCAGCAGTAAATGATTAATAGCAATATATGTCGTGAAAAACTACAGGTGTATCGCATATCGTATATTGGAAAATGAAAAACCATCTTAATACACATACCATTCAATCTCATCATTGTCTTTAACAACCATCATTTCATCAATTTCATCTCGACATTTATATTGATAGTCTGGATATCTCGCGAGGTTATACAAACACCACGAGATCGCACTAGCTGTGGTGTCATGGCCTTCAAACATGAAGATATCTACTTCATCTTGGATTTCTTGATCACTTAGACCTACCCCATCGTCATCCTAAACGAGGTATACAGAATTAGATATAATATAATATAATATAATATAATATAATATAATATAATATAATATAATATAATATAATATAATATAATATAATATAATATAATATAATATAATATAACGATTACCACTCTGTGTCATATAATATTTGTAATTGATATCAATCTACTTTTGTTTTATAATGAAATTCCACAGACTCGTATAGCTTGATGAAAAATGCGATGATCGGAAGTAGTAGGCACATTAACACTTTATAAACTGCAGCCTGTGTTTTAACTCTTCTTGAAGTGTGTTTTGGGATGATGTAAACATATAGCTTTTTATCATAACATTTTAAACTCCCACATGCTTAATTTGATGGTTATCCGATTTGTTGTGACACACAAGATAGATCTGTATCAGTACTTGCAATTGACGATATGCATAACGGTCAATCTGATATTTACTCAGACATGGCAATACAAAACTCATTTTCGCATGCACCCGGATACTGCTCTGTAAGTAATGGTTAGTCAAGTTTTTCACCAAGCCCAAACATTAGCACTCTCAATTGACGCAGATAACCCAGACATATTGCAATGTGATTCATGAATGTTATTCGGAGTCACATGCTGAATCGCTAGCCAATCACATCAACCTGTTTACAAATTGGCAACCTTTGATGAATATCAATACTCCTAGGCCCATAACAATTCATTGTCTCTTACCCTCGCATCCAACAACATTTCTAGGAAATCAACATATTCTTTCTTTATACTACTTCCCTCTGCCCGTAAACGCTTCTTCTGTTGAATAATGCTTCGCGTAAAGTTGTGTAGCACCTTCAGATTGTGGGTGTATTTTCGTCCTCGTGGAGTGAGATGTAGAAATACGAATGATGGCAGATAGAATGCTGCCATTCTCTCAACAAAGAGTTGTGACAGGTTTCTGACTGCCTTCACGTATGTCACAGTGTTATCGTCTCTGCAATACAACGTTATATACATATTTTACCCAAGAGGTTTTACCCAAGTACAAATACATTAAACGACAAAGCAGCATTGTTGTTCACCAATCAATTAAAAAACAACAAATATAATGCTGAATTGATGCACTAATATAGAGGCAACGTATTGGGCAAATTCACCACAGTCAATTTCTCAGTTGAATAAACCTTCGGTGAAAGAAAATGTACGAGAAATAAAAATAAAATTCCAAAAACCTGCCATCATCAGTAAATATTGAATTGTTGAATGAGGGAGTCACTGAGTCATGTCATCAGATCAGAACAAAGTTTGGTCTAAAGAAATGGAATTATGGCCATATTTTAAAATACAACAATGGTATAACAGCTATATACAAGTATTATACAATGTGTTTATGCATGAATCGTAACATAGATATGTCAATCGTACCATAGATATGTCAATCGTACCATAGATATGTCATAATTTGTTGTTATCATGTAGTGTACCCAACAGCAAATGACCGATTCTAGGTAGATCAGCTAGCAATTGCCCCAAAACTGATGAGCGATTTGAATTCAGGTAGATCAGGATTGTACAATTTATCATTCGTGCTGTTGTGCATAGTTGATGCAAGCCAACAAGCCAAGCCAGAAGATTTTACTATAAACATTCTATATGTGTATTACAATGATGATAATCTTTGACCTCAACATGCAAAATCAAAAACTTCCCTCAAATAAAAGTGTTACTATCTTTTTTCTCTGAAAATTTGAACACAATTTAGCATAAACAAGAAAATCAATCATGCAACATTTTCATATTAATTTTGGTATTGTTTATTTGAAAAACTATGACACGGTCATATTTAGTCATATATATATCAGTGAAACACACATTTCAGCTCATTTTCTCTGCGAAACTGATAATCCACTTTTTTCAGCTGTCTTATATAGTTCTTCTACCTAACTCTTTTTGTACCAACCCACACTAACTCAGCAATATTTTAAAAAATGTTTCAAATGTGGCACTGTCTTCACCGGGGTTGCTTCTCTATTGGTCTCTTAACATTTTATATTTGTATCTCATCTTCGTCCGTTGCTAAGTAGGTTATGTATGTACAACAAGAATTTAATTTCATCTGTTGGTAATTCGAGAATCAAGAATTGCAAAACAGCAAATGAGTGCAAGTTGACATTCGATATCAAGTAGGTCAGGGGCCAACATCCTGCTTGATCAGGAAGAAATTTCCCAACAAACAATGCCAACATTCGATTTAAGGTAGATCAGGGAACAATCGCCCAACATCCAATGACCGACAATTGATTCCAGGTAGATCTGCAGACAAATGTCTTACAACCAATGAGCGACATTTTATTCCAGGTTGCTCAGGGAACAATAGCCCAACAACCATTGATCAACATTTAATTCTAGTTACATGCGGGAATAATTTCCCTACAGCCAACGATTGATATTCAATTCCAATAAGATCAGGGAACAATTGCTCAAAAGCTGATGACCAACATTCGATTTCAGGTAGATCAGCGAACTATTGCCTTACAGCAAATGATCAACATTTAATTAACTGTCAACAGCCAATTATCGACAATCAAACACCAGGTAGATTCGGGCACAGCTGTCAATGCTTGTTCTAATCACGGTACTTTCTGTTTAGTATACTGCTAATCTTAATAATTTTAAAGGCCTCCCCTAGAGTCAATGTTGTCATGTGAGCTATTTAAAGGCATATATCCCATTTCAATATATGAGTGTTCTTGAACTTGGGTGGATACTACTTATGGCCACACTAAAAAATGCGCGTCAGCCCCCCCCCCAAAGCAGCAAATTTAGCTTAAGTAAAGTCCTACAATTGCTCGAAGAGCTGGGTAAACTCTATACGTGTCAACTTGCCATTCCAAACCCAGACAAAGGTCATAACGATGTAGCGGTGCCAAAATATGCTTAGGATGCGACACATGCAAAACTGTATTTTCCTATTTCTGCGTTTTACAATGGGCACTTTGATGTAAGGGTATCAACGCCTTATTCCTTTCTGAAATATGGGCATATTGTTGTAATAAAAAATGGGCCCGTTGCTCAACGGGTTTTGCCAAACAAATTTCATTTGGGAGTAGATTAAGATGACAGACATTATTAAAAGATGACAGACATGCTGAAGATTCAAGTATAAATAACTTGATTTGTATGGCAGACGTCCAACCCGCGTCTTTCGCATTACGCGAGATCTCGCAATGAACGTGACAAATATGCAAATGTTCATGATGACGTAAATGAATATTCTCACCCTCTTTCTTGGCAAGAACTGTTTATTCCAAAAATACAGTTTAACAGAGTGTCCAGCGTCATTAAACTGACACAATCAAACATCTCCATTGGTGTATCGCTGCTATGATGGCTCCATTTTGTCTGAGAGAAATTACAACATATATTTATATATATACAATAAGGACTGGATGAAGATATCTTTTAGAGATGACTGTTAAAATAGTATTTAACAAATAAAAAAAATCATCAGGTGAGATACATATATGTGAACATAGGTCACTCAACGGGGATACATGTTGGTCATAATGGCGCCAGCCCCTCAATGTACCAGACTTCACTGTCATACATTGTACTTGGCTGAACCATTAAACATTGAACCCGACTACACCTTTGTACCTTATACTTGACTACACCGTTAAACATTTACCTAACCACACTGCTATACACTGTACACGACTACACCTTTATACCTTATACTTGACTACACCGTTAAACATTTACCTAACCACACTGCTATACACTGTACACGACTACACCATTATACCCTGTATCTGACTACACCGTTTTACCTTGTCTCTGACTACACCATTATACCCTGTATCTGACTACACCATTATACCCTGTATCTGACTACACCATTATACCTTGTCTCTGACTACACCATTATACCCTGTTCCTGGCTACACCATTATACCCTGTATCTGACTACACCATTATACCCTGTTCCTGGCTACACCATTATACCCTGTTCCTGGCTACACCATTGGACCTTGTCTCTGACTACACCGTTATACCCTGTATCTGACTACACCGTTTTACCTTGTCTCTGACTACACCATTATACCCTGTATCTGACTACACCGTTTTACCCTGTTCCTGGCTACACCGTTATACCCTGTTCCTGGCTACATCGTTACAACTTCTATATGCCTGCATTATTATCATACCTTGTACCTGGCTAATCCATTTCAGGATGTTAACAATGATTTATCAAAGAGTGTGACGTCACTCACCAGCATTTTCTGCGCACACTCGTTGTACAATTTAATGTATGGTTTGAGAACTTCGAAATGAAACGACGGCGTCAGAAGGCGTCTATTCCTCTTCCATTTTGCTCCAGACGAGATTAGAAGACCGTCTCCCAGCCATTCACTTAAACGACCATAGGCAAGCGGATCTTTTGGTTCTGAAGTAGAGAACATACTGACATGTAATTCCACGAGATTGTTTGTTTCACGAATTGCATATACTTATAGGGAAACTCGCCAATTGTGTGGGACATAATGCCTACTAAGAGGGTCGGCAAGGGGTATATTCGTAAGCTGTAATCAAGTGTTTTTATGTTCGTAATAGTGTAATTTCAATAAATAAGAATTGTAAATTCGTAGACATGGGCAATGTGTAAAATGTAATCAGCTATTTTATTCATCCGTAAATTGTACAAAGATATTAATTTTGTAAGCGTACACAGCATTTTCCACATTCAATGTTGCAATTCGTACGCAATTTCAATTGTTTTTTAAACACAAATTATCAAATATATTATAAAAGTATAAAATGTAATCTGCTTTATCTGTAAAGTGTAAAAACCTATTTTTTTATTGTAAATGAAACTTTCATTATTTACTTTTCTGTAAAAACGTTAAAAATGCGTTTTTTATTTCCTGTAACCTGTACCAGCTATCCCCCTTGCCCCCCTACTAAGTATTTGAACAATGACTTACCCACTGAAGTAAGAATTGAAGTCATATCCAAAGATCTACCTGAAGACATACCCAAAACACATGCCCGAAAGACATCTCCAACAACTTACCTGGAGTGGCCAATATCGTCTTAACAGTGTCAGGATGTACACAAAATAAGAGAGCGCGGAATGGTCCGATCCATATTTGGAAATAATGGCTGTAATTCTTTGTGAATTCAAACATCATTTGTATGCCTTTCCCTTTGCGCAGTCCCTATAATAACAGAATATTTACATACCACATAATTATATCCATCATACTTCATGATACGATTAAAATAATTGTGTCGCAAATTCAATCATGCAAATATGTCGCTATTGGTTGATTATTCAGACTTGCAAGCAGTCTCTTGTTTGTTTTTCAATAAAATAAAATATTATTTGGGTGTATGAATGACGAAAGCCGGCCAAACCGCGAAACGAAATTGAAGTGAGATAGTCGTAGAGTGGCGGTGGCACCGGGGGGTGCAGGGGCGGGCGCCCCTCCAAATCAAGCTGAAACCCTTTATGTCAGCAAAATTTGCCCCTCAAAATGCAGGAAATAGCATTTCAGATGGTCTAGATTTTAATCATTTTTCTATTTTTCGTCTTTAAGAAACCGCGCCGAAAGCGAAATTTCACACGCATGCGTCGAAGATGCACTAAAGATACTAGCCTATACATCGCTTCAAGAATCCCAATGAGAGGTCGGCAGTGCGTACACTTCTGGTCCTGTTGTTTTTGTGAGTGTGCCCACCGGTAGCGGAAATTGTGCCATTCTGCTCAGACTTGGACTACAAACTTTCGGGAAATTTCAATGAACATTCAAGAACCATAGTATCTCCAATGGTGGCTTTTATTAAAGAGCAATTACAGAAAATGACGGAATGTGGTCGGAAAGCTGTCTACATCAGTGGCGACGAGGATTAAGCCGGAAAATTCAGTTATATATCGGCAAGGTTTCCTGGGGCATTTTTCTCCGCCCATAAAATCATGTGATGTGTAGATTACGCCAATTTGTGACGTCATTGAAATGCTAATTAATATTGATAGCAAGGGAACGTTGCATACGTTTACATTTATTGAAACACTTAAAATTCCACAGAAGGAATTAAAACTACCAGAACACATACCGGGTATTTAAAAAATGCAAATTTTACAAAAATTACTATCTAAAGCACAACAATGGTTTTAAAAAAAAACTACAATAAAGAAAAAAACTGGTGATAATAATAATAAAAAAATAAAATAAGCAATATACAGTAAATCAATGAAACATGGAAAAGGAATGAAAACAGTATTAAAGAAGAAAACTATTTATGCTAATTTGCCAGAAGGTGTTGCTGTCTAAGGTTCCCGTTATTTTTTGATATATTGGGCATCTGGTATTTGTACATTCAGGTTCGAAGGTGACACGAGTCTCTAGTTTGACCCAGCTTTCGCCATTTATACACTTACATAATATTATATTTTATTGAGAAAACACCACAAATCTAGTAGATTGGATGGTCTATGATACAGCGACTTTCCTCATCAATGTCTGCGTTACTCTATTCCCCTTGGTGTTATTATCGCCCTGGTCGTACTCGCTCGACTGCTCGCGTTAGTCCTCATGTGTCGGTTTTTCAGTAAAGACACAGGGAGCCCAGGAACTATGATCAACGCAGTCCATATGAGCGTGGGGG